GTGTGTGTGTGTGTGTGTGAGTGTGTGTGAGTGTGTGTGTGTGAGTGTGTGTGTGTTTATGTGTGCGTGATTATGAGTTTGTGTGTGTGTGCGCGCGCGCGCGCGCGTGTGTGTGTGTGTGTGTGTGCGCGTGTGTGTTCGAGTGTATGTGTGTGTAAGTGTCTGTATGTATATGCGTTAGCATGAACGTACGAGTGCATGTGAGTGCACGTATTATATGAGCACATGGGGTCATAATAATTAATATAGTGTAAAGCGCATAGAGCCTGCTGTTGAGCGGGGATATGCGCTATACAAATGCTATCTATTATTATAATTATGGTTATGTTACTGAATGAATGATTCATGTGTATATGTTTATTTGTATGATAGGTGTGCACAAAAATGTATAAATCCGCATGCCCTTTTGAGTATGTAGTATGTTGTGCGTATGTTTGGGGAGGCGTTCATGTGAAATCGAGTTCATGTGATTCTTTTTGTTGTTGCTATATTTTGTTTTGTACGTGTATATATTAATGTGTACGTATACGTGTGGGCATGTGTTTATTATTACATGTGGGCATGTGTTTATTATTGCATGTGGGCATGTGTTTATTATTACATGTGGGCATGTGTTTATTATTACATGTGTGCATGTGTATAATAAAAGTGTACGTATAATATTATTATGAGTGGGCATGTGTTTATGCGCATGTGTCTGCATGTTTTCCTGTGTAGCTGCGAGTTGAAGTTGATGCGTTTCAATATTTCAGAGGAATCTGGCGATACATGTCGCTGTGTGCGGTGATGTGCCCTAGACAAATCACCCCAAAAACCAACAAAAACAACAACGCTTGGCAATTCACTCTACACTTTGTAAAAACAACAAAACAAAACAAAAACAACAGCAAAAAACAACCAACCAACCAACAACAACAACAACAACAACAAAAACCCGACCTTTATCCATTTACGATAACAGAACAGGAGCATTAGCACAGACAGAAACGGTGTTGCGGAACTCTGCATGTAAGCGCGAAGCGAAGGGCATTACATTATCTCATTTGGCGAGACATTTACAGAATGATGGCGGGCAATCGACCTGAGTTCAGATCCCTCTGGGGGGGAAACTGTAACACTATGGAGTGTCTGAAAAGTTCATTCTTTGTGTTTGCATATATACATATTTTTGTTGTTGTTACTGTTATTTGGGGTTTTTTCGACACTAATTAAGTGAAAGTAATAATAAAACATTAAAATTATATAAGAGACATCAGACGTCATTTATATCTATTGCATGTGCAGCCGCTGCTGCTGCTGTTGTTGGTGCTGCTGTTGTTGGTGCTGCTGCTGCTGTTGTTATTGTTGTTGTAGTAGTTGTCGTTGTTGTTGTGTGTGTGTGGGCGGGTGGGGGGCGCTAATCCTTCGAACTGTCTGGAGCCCCGAAGAGCGTGATGCTCTACGCCAGGGCCACCGCCTCTCTTGGGAAGCGGGTGAGTGAGTCCAAACTCCCTGAATCTTCCCCAAAGAGGTGCCACCGCTGGATGTTGCTGTTGTTGTTGTTGATTTTTTGTTGCTGCTGCTGCTGTTGTTGTTGTCGTTCTGTGTGTGTGTGTGTGTGTGTGTGTTGTTGCTGTTGTGTGTGTGTGGTAGCCTATCCGTTCGAACTGTCTGGAGCCCCAAAGATTGTGGTGCTCTACGCGAGGGCCACCGCCTCTCTTGAGACCGAACTCGGGTCTCCTGCGAAGGGACTAAACTAGACTGTTGGTGAGGGCCTAACAAATTTAGAGTAACATTTTTTAAACGCCCTGCAGGGTAGCCTACTAATAGGGTGCTCTCGTGGCCTAGAGGTTAAGGTGTTCGCCTCTTATTCAAAAGGTCCCGGGTTCGAATCCGGAAAGCGACAGAAAATTTACCTCCTCTAAAATATTCTCCTTTCACCTCCTTTCCTGCTCCCTAACAATGTTCAGTCGTCTGCTTTTGTCTCCACTTTCTGCCCCAATCCCTCACCTCCTTTGCCCTCTCCTCTGGGCTCCTGATTCTTTCTGCAGCCTTTCTACTGATTCTCCTTGGCTCCTTCTTACTACTGTCTTTGAGCCACACCCTCGATCTTATGATAGGTAAGATCTAACACCTAGCCTGCCTTCTCGGATAAGGGCAAAAA